CCGTAAAAGATTTATGGAAGAGCCAACTAATTGAGGGAGAAACATGGGAGGCCGAGGCCGACATGAAGTCTCTATATCCTCATCTCTTTGCTAATTATGGTTAGTTGTTCCTACTAGTTACTAAAATAATGAGTAAAATTGAAATTGACTTGTTTTGTTAAGACGTGAATAATTAAAGGTAAAAGTTTGACAAAAATAAGATGTTCATGAAAAGATGTCCTTTTGATTTAATGGCACTTGCTTGTGTATTTGGTATGTTGTTGACTTTATATAGTGAAATTGAGCATGTTAATGTGTTCTGAAATGAGTTTTTGGTATAAGTGGCTCATTATGTGTTGTTGAGCTCATGTTGTTTTTGAGAAGGGAATTCCTCATGTTATGGTATGAAGCCCTTAGATAAGAAATTGATATTTTGAGTTATTATGTGTAAATGCCATGTCATTATGTTGATTTAAGTTGTAAATCATGTTGATTATATATGTTGTTGTTTGGGATGCTAGTATTGAGTCTATCATTTTCCTTCAAAAGATTTTAGTGTCATTCAAGGACAAATGTTTCCCAAGGGGGGATAATGTAACACTCCGAAAGTCCAAGACCTAAAATAGAGCCTCACATGAGTGTCTAAGGGTTTTAACAATTTTCTAAGGTCAATAATAATATATTCAAGTCATTTAGGAAGTTTTAGAGTTAAAACGTCAAGGAACGTCCATGACGTCCGGAGACTAGTGTAAGAGGTGCTAGTGTGCCTTAGCCTATTTCACAAGGTTTTAAAAGTCGGAAATTGATGAAATTTGGTTTGAAGGTATCTAATGAAAAGGTTTCTAACACATATAAGAATAGGTTTAGGGACAAAATGTTCGGGTATGACTCCCCAAGGACCACCCTGAGGGTCCTTGAGGATGACCCTTCCATTTTAACCAAAAAGTTGTCATAGACAATGTCTACCAACAATGGCAGACAACGAGGCGTGGTCCAATCGACGAGTCATCGATTGACTCCATCGATGGTCACTTAAACAATTTTCCAAAATGGCAAAATGACAACTCTCTGACCAAAACCACAATTGTGCAGGACAGTAGGGGTCATGGCTGTCGACCGACCTACAGCCCGTAGGTCAGGGTCTCGTAGGTTAGCCTGCAAATTTTCCTGTTTTGTTTAAGTTAGTTCATTTAATTAAGTTGGTTAGTAAGGGGTTTAATTAGTTTTTATGGGGTGATTAATTAGGTTATTTAATTAACTATATAACCTACCCTAAGCCTAAAACCTCACTTAACACCTCACATTTCCCAAACTCAAATTGCTCTACCTTCTCTTTACTTTATCTCTCTCTCTCAAGGAAACTCCATAGAAGACCAAGGTCCAAGGGCTATAGCGCATAAATAAGTCAAATTTTCACCATCAATCTTCAAAGATTAACAAGGTATGAGATCCTTTCACCTTTCGGATTCCTTTCCGAAAAGGTTTTCCCAAAATTGATTTTCAAATATATAATTTTATATGGGTTTCTTCCTAATACTAATTTGATCTTCTAGATTGTATTTTTTATGGGTTATTTTTAATATTATGATTAGATTATGTTGTATTATGATTCATTTACATTGGTTCTTGATGAATTAATCTAGATTGTGGAATAGATCATGAATTGACCCAAATTCCCTAACCCTAGGTTATGAACTCATGTTGAATTGACTAGTATTGATGTAATTGAGTTAGTTATTGTTTTAATTACTATTGAATAATGTTATTACATTTATTTATGGATTAAATTGGATTGGTTGAGGGTAAGACCAATGATAATGGCTTGTTGAAGGAGAATTAGTAAGACTTTGTGATCTTGATCCTTTACTTCACTTGTGCTGGCTTTTACTTGGTGATGAAGTTAAATTGAAGTATGCCTTGTGATTATATTGATTAGGTGTGGGTATGATGATGTTATTGAAATGTCTTGATTATGTGAAGGTGTGAGATATGTTTAAGATGAAATGATATAAGGTTGGTTATAAATTGTCTATGTGTCTTATTAAAACATAATGATGATAATGTGTTGATCTCACATATGAGGATTGTATTGAAAGGATATTCTCATGCAATTCCTATTGAGATAATGAATATGAGTATAGAAGGGGTTAGTCTCCTATGACTTATGTTTCATAAAGTAAATTATATGCATATGTTGACTTTACATGTTAATGGCCTTGGACTATGTTAGTTGCATTTATGAACTGGATATTAATATATATGATGAGAAATACTCGTAATGCTATGTTATATAATGTTATACATTTCTTATGGTCTTTGTTGGGTTTACTTGGTTGAGTAAGGTTATGGGGCTTTACTTGGTCATCACATTTGTAGACTTGATGATGAATTATGAGTAATGGTCTTGTATATGTGATAATGTTATAAACACTTATATACATGCTTTGTAGTTATAACATGATGTTAGATATGGGTTGGCTATGCATTCAATTATGATATTACACATGTCGACTTGCGTATACTTGATGATGTGGATCATGTGTTGTATATGATTTTGTCTTAAGAAATATGTGATTATTGGCTTATATGTGTTCTTGATTGTGCATAAGGATTTTCAAGCTATCTTAACATGGTTTTGAACAAATATCCCTTTTAGAATGATTTCAAGTGTATTATGTGCATATTCACATACTTGGTAAAGTGTATACCAACCCATATTTCTATGTTTCTACAATTATGTAGGTTCCGGCCGTTGAGCTTCTAGAAGGGTCATTTGAAGATACTTGGATTCTCATCCTTCAAGTTCGGTAGTCCTCACTCACTTTCCGAGGACGATGCCACTATCTTGCTATTGGATGTTTTTATCTTAAGGACGCTCTTGTGCATTCTCTTTCATTTGAAGACAAATGTTGTATATGCCTATATGTGGCCTTTATCGTATGAATTATGGGTTATGCCCAATGTTGAACTCGTTTAGATGGTTTAATATGAGACCTATCCTAAACTTCTTATGAATCTATATTGTTATATTATGTATGTGAAATAAAAGTAGAAGCCTATGTAGTGCTTGTTATGTGAGGAGTCTATGTAAACTCCTTGAGTATACATTATGTGTATGCAAGAGGTGTTGACACCCAATTTTGACCCTCTCCGGTAGGAATTAATTCATGAGCTTCTTAAATTTCTCAAACATTTTAAAATAATTTACTTTTAAATTTTAAGAAAAAATATAAAGCTTGCGTTATTTTGAATAGTTTTGCCACTTCTTATAACTTTTAGATAATATATATATTTTACATAATTATGTATTTAATTAGTATATTTTATCATTATTCAAAAATGACCTCAAAATTTATTTTTAGTTTTAATAAAATATTTAGATAACTAGTGTTGTTTGAACAATAATTTATACTTTCAGGTTAACTAGTTTATAATTGACATAATTATTTTATGGGAATTTTATCAAAACAACAATATGTTAGTTTTTTTGTGACACAGTAACAATATTTCAATATTTATTAATACTAGCATGTTTTAATTACATTATATAGGAATACTGTATTTTTTCTTGTAATATGGTATGTATATTTATAAAAAAAATTTATAGAAAATATGAAAATTAAAACATAAAAAAGGTAAGTAGCATTAATAATCCTTCAGTTACTTTTTAAAAAGCTGTATTTTTGTCATATATTAATTTGAACATTTTTTCTTCTTCTTCTCTGTTCTTCATATTTAAAAAAGATTTCAAACAAATTTATCTCCTCTCTTATTGAATTGGTAAAGATGCTTTATTATACAAATCGAATTCTGCCAATATAATCGAATACGGAAATTATTTTAAAGCAGAAATTTTCGAATCCCACAACAACAATTTATTCCTTACGGTTTTATTCATACTTTGGAGATCAGGTATCTTTCTTAAATTTTCTAATATGAATACGTGAAATGTTTGTATGATTTGAAATTTTTTTAAGCTCATGGTATGTTCTGTTTATATCAATGTAAAAAATCTGATTTTCATTTTTTTTCCTGCAAATTTGTTGCTTTGTCAGTGATTTTATTTTAAAATTTATGGTATTTTTGTTCTTCTGAAAATCGCTGATTTGTTAACAATTTGCTACTAGTATTATATGTATCCAAGTGAGATGTTAGCAAATTGCTACGTTGAATACAGTACGAATTCGTTAGCGAATTGCTATGTTGATTATATAGAATTTGTCATTGTAGCCATGGGAAGCATTAGTTTATTGGTCATGCATTCTGGGAGGTGGAACAATGAAAATTGCTATGTTGATTACAGTACCGAAGCAATTGTGTTAAAAGAGTATGCGACATTTAGAGAACTAATGGATCTTGTATCAAAGCAAATTTGTGTTGACTTGAGCTTCAACATTGTGAAACTTAAATATAAGATAGAGGGTAGTACTGCACCTCTGGAAATACACAACGACATGGGCGTGAGAGTGTATGTGTCGTTGAAAAAAGATAACAAAGAATTGTCAAAGTATCCTATATGTGTATCCGTATTTGTGAATGACTGTCAATTAGCTGATAGAAATATGTTTGAAGATGGATTCGAAATGTGTGGGCCTGGTGGAATAGATATAGTTGATACAGAATCATTAGTGCTTAGTGTGCCGAACAATAGCGATAATGTGAATTGCGACATTATTACAAACGTCAAACATAAGGTAGTGTTGGAAGATCAAGTTTATAAGGACAAGGGAACTTTAAAGGCTGTGATGACGCAATACGCTATTGATAATAGATTCCAATGGAAAACGGACAGATCGAGTCAAACATGGTATGTTTATTTGTATTTTACCTAATTCTAATTGTGTTATTCAAACAGTTATACACTTGTTTGTGTCTCTGATAATTGTGGATGGGTGTTGAAGTCGTCAAGTATCAATAAATCTGGAATGTTCAGAATTAGAAAATTCGTAGATGATCACACGTGTCCATTGAAAGATAAGGTTTATGAATAACGTCAAACAACAAGCAGTCTTATTGGAGGTATGATACAACCCAAGTTAGTTGATCATAAAAGGAAGTTGACGCCGAAGGATATACAACAAGATGTCAGCTTAGCTCTTGGAGTAAATGTATCATACTCAGTGGCGTGGAATGCTAAAGAAAAGGCTTTAGTTTCTTTAAGGGGTACCCCGTCTGGTTCTTATGGTAAACTTGCGAGCTACTTATACGTATTGGACGCTACCTACCCTGGATCTCATATAAGGATGAAGAAAACCGATGAAAATCAATTTCTTTATCTTTTTATTTCGCTCTTCCCGTTCATAAAAGGTTTTGAGTTTTGTAAACCAATTGTCGTAGTTGATGGCAGCCACCTCAGGGGTACTTACAATGGAGTATTTGTTTCTGCAAGTACTGTTGATGGAGCAGGTATTGGATTGATAATATATACACTTTGTTTTGTTGATTATTATATTTATTCTACATGAAATAAAAAATTTGTTAAATGTTTTGTGTGTAGGAAATATATTGCCGCTAGCATATGGAATTATTGATCCTGAAAATGATGCATCCTGGACTTGGTTTTTTGAACAGTTTAGAGAAGCGCATGGCGTTAAATATAACATGTGCGTTGTGTCTGATCGAAACGAAAGTATTATAAAGGCAGTTTCGAGGGTATTTGATGGAGTTCCTCATTATGCCTGTATTTGGCATTTGTGGAAAAATGTCAAAACACTATTTAAAAGGTCGCACAACCGTCTGTCGGAAGTTTTTTATGGGATGGCAAAGGCATACAAACAATCTGAATTTGATGAACTGATGGACAAGGTTGAACAAGTTGATGTTCGTGTAAAAAATTACTTGGAATCAGCAGGTTATGAAAAATGGGCTTGGGTATATGCAATAGTTGATCGAGGAATGGTTATGACATCAAACATAGCTGAGTGCATAAATGCTTGTCTATTTGAAGCAAGGGAATTACCGGTATATGATTTTCTTGAGGAAGTAAGACAGATGTTTGCAAGATGGAATGTGAAAAATCATACGTCTGCTTCGCATACATTCACCACACTTTGTGGTAGACCACAAGAGATGCTTGTTGCTAATGAAGAAGCATCATTACGTATGAAGGTATGTTGTTACGATTTATATGTTCATCAAAATTATATGACATAAGTGTTTTATTTTTGTAGGTTGTGCCGTCAAATAACTATGTGTTTAGTGTTCATCACGAAGGTAGAACCAACATTGTTTGTTTGGAAAATAAAACGTGTACTTGCAAGAGGTTTCAAATAGATGAAATACCATGTTCGCATGCTTGGGCTGTTTTAAAGAAGAAACATTTTGATGTTGGGCCTTATTGTTCCGACGTGTACAAGCCAAGTAACTTGTTGAATACATACAGCATTTCAATTCGTCCGTTACCTGATCAAAACGAGTGGAATGTACCTGGATATATTAAGGACCAGATAGTGCAGCCTCCAAATCACAAAAAGCTCCCTGGAAGGCCATCCAAAAAGTATCGTGACAAGACGTATAGCGAGCTATATGGTAAGAAGAGAAAGAATTCTTGCAGTACGTGTGGGTTTAAAGGGCACAATAGGCGTTCATGTAGGAATGGACCGCGTATTGTATAGTTAATGATGTTTCAAATTTTGGCTATTTTTAGAGTTTTGTTTCTTCCAGACTTCTAATGCCTTCTGGGTAATAAAATAACATGGAATTATTTGTTCATGGTTGTATATTTAAATGTATGCGCTCTACGTCTTCTCGCGAATAATCTAACTTGTATTCGAAATCTGATTGGATATGAATGAATACAATTGTTGAATTCTCCTATTTTGAATTCGGCAAATATTTTTTTGTGGATACGTTTTATATCGAGAAGTGTTCATTCATATCCGTGTTTTCAATATATATTATATTTGTCCTATCTAAATTTTATGTGTGAACTTGTATGTGTCAAATACAAAATCTTTGTAGTTACTTGTAATCCAGTAGAATTGTATGTGTAATATAATACAAATTATATTTTGTAATGTGTTAATTAATACAATTTTTTTTCCTGCATTTTCTATTGAAAGATATTTGTATCCTGGGTACTAATATCAACATTTTAATGAATACATATTTGTTTCTGCGTTTTCTATTGAAATGTATTTGTATCCTAGGTACTATAATGTATTTGCTCTATCTATAATGTATGCGTTAAATTGTATGTTTAAGAAACAAAATCGGTGCAGTTACTTGTATTCAAGTTAAATTGTATTTATAGTATATTATAAATTGTTTTTTGTAATAGTTTAAAGCATACAATTTTATTTTTTTTGGTATACGTGTTATCTCTAAAAGTATTCATATTCTCTATACGTATTCTATCTTTTTTATGTTGTTGTTATTATTAATTGTATTTACAATTTAATATCAAGTCTTACATCCATTTGAAACACATGAATGCATACATTTTGTTAGATTATTTGTAATTGTTTTGGTATACCTTTTAAACCGAAATGTATGTGTATCCATGCTTTTAATCTACATTATATTTGTTCTATATATATTGTATGTTGGTAGAATCGTATGCATGTTGGTAGAATCGTATGCATGTTGATAGATTCATTTGTATTGCATTTTAACATAAAAAATGAGTTTTGTGTACCCCACATGCAAATACTTAGGCTTGAACACTTTAATATTGACCCAAAACCTTTGAAACCATAACTTCAAGATTTTATACATTAATAAACACAAAAGAACTGGAACCCTTTAAAATCGTTTCATATAATACAAAAACTAATGTCCAAGTACAAACAAAAAAATGGACAATAACTAATCTATTTGAATTGTATCAATCTCCTCCATTGCTACATTCAATCTGCTATATCGTAGAGGTGCTTCATTGTCACTTATTGCTCCGGCATCATTCTTTTGTTGGCCATAATTCCAAAGAAGTGTAACATATCTTGACCGTAAACACGATGCATCCAAAATATTCGCTGGAATACCTTGGCCGTATGACAGGTATTCGACAAACGCTAGCACATAAATACCACAATCCCTATAAATTAAAAGTTAGTACACAATATAATATTTATAATTTGGTGATATTAAAATAAAAAGAAACACAAACTTACAGAGACCCATGTGCCTGTTGAGGAACATTATCAATGAATACTACATTAAAGAACTCGTTCTCTTGTTGAGCTTGCGATACATCAATTCCTTTATTGTTGTAATAATCATTGACTGATAACTTCAAAGGGATAAACTGAGACAATTTAACTATCTCTGCCCTGATAGCTGCATCGTGACCTGCTGCCCTATATGAATCATACACGTTGATACACTTTTCATTCAATGATATCACAGCCAACACCCAATGAAAATTTCTCCTTGACGTGGACAGGAACAAAAACATAATCAATCTTATGCCAATGACATGCTCTTCATCGGCACAACCAACATCGCTATCTAAATCCAAATATTTTTCCCAAATAGCAGATATCTTTGAACTAAAAATACAATCCACAGTTGTGTATTTATAGCTGCCTCCAACATCATACTTGGCTTTTTTCCGTAGATAATATAAAATCACATCAACATGCTGACAAATTTTAACACAAATGTATAAATACTATAACTAATAATGAATCATTGTTTGTAAATATAAATGCTAAACAACTCTTACCGAATTGTTCAATAACTGTCCTTTGAAAAACAGATTATAGAACCAATTCTTATTGTCCACTGTGAGAACGCCAAGGTTAATGGGCACAGAAATTTCAGCTAGATTCTTCTTGTAATGGTCTTGATCATGCTTCCTATAAACAGAATAAAAATATAAACAGTATACCATTCATTAAAAAGGTAAAGTAATTACTATCAACATTTAAATACAAAAAAAATCAACAAAACCTATATATATGCAGCACCTAACAATAACTGTTGTTTAAACACAAACAAATATTTAACCGGATACAAAAAAATTAAACAGTTATGTTTTTAAAATATCTTGTAATTATTCACCAATGACTTACTTTCTGTCATGCTTTGTAAGTAAGTCATCTCGGATCCATGAACGAAACGCATCCCACAACGTTATATCATAATCGCCGGATATCAAATCAAATATAAAAGGGTGTTTCAATTCAAAAATGTGAGCCTGACTTGATGAACTACCTGAAATGATTCAAAAAACTATAAATTAAGTACACACTAACAGAAGCAACAATAAAAATGATTACATTAACAAAAGTATTAAAAATAATGGAATACTGTACCAGCAGATGATCCAAAATTGGTCAGAAGGGAGATGTATTATAAGGACCTGGACGTCTATTCCTACGCGTAGGTAATGGCGTCTGTTCGTTATTGCTGATAGGCTGATCTATCATCAAATTTTAACCGTTCATACCCAATTGGACATCGATAGTGGACTGATCTGCCTTTGTTGTAATGCATCCTGCAATTGTTGTTGGCAGCTGTTCGGTGTGCCCTTTTATCACAGTTGAATGTGGTGCGATGCTACTCTTTATAGAGTTGAGACTAGGCATGAATTGATCGTCCAATTCAAACTGTGAATCGGTTGTCACTTTCATGTGATCCAAAATCTGGATAGGGACTGGACATGGCATTTGTTCAACATCATCCTCATGAGATTTTTCAGATACTCCAAGCACTTTTTGTGGGGGTATATCAAATACAAAACTTGGTTGATTTACCTATTAATTTCGTAAAAATAACAACACCTTTAAAAGTAATTACCCAAATAATGGTATAACAAATGTACTTATAAAATTAAATAACATACTCTAGGAATTGTAGGTCTTGGTGCACTTAACTCATAATCCACATCAATCAGATTTCGAACAGGGGTGTTGATACAAAAAACCTTATAAAATGAAATTTTCGATATGAAAATGAACATTTATTGAGACTGGAATTTAAGGCAAATTTGTATTTTGTGATCACACGTTAGGATGTACGAAAAAAAATAAACTTGTCTAAAAACTGACTTACCTCATGATCATCGGAGGTGGGATATATTCCATCTGTATTGTTGATTGTCTTTAAAAAAAAATAACAAGAAACATGAATTTATATTAATGGATACAAATAATGAAAAGTCATTTAAAGTTGTAAACGATAACAGTTATAATACATGTAATCATAAAACGAGTTAAGATTGCCAGATACAATTTGATCATAATCATATAAATGTATAATTATATAAAATATGGGAGGCTTATTAAAGATATTTATTAGACAAGTATTGAGTTTAAAAAATGATACACAAATTCTTGACTTACAGGGGACACAACATTTGTTGATTTACTGTCGTTTGAATCCTTGAGTGTCTTGTAAAAATAAAAAAATCCAATACACATGTAAACAAATATTAAAAGTTACGACTTCATAAACAGTGAACAAATTCAAAATTTTCGTAAAAACACCAAAATAGGGATCGTATTTGCAATCTAAATTAATAATAAAAAACTACGAGTACCTCTGAATTTTCAGATTTCAATTTGTCACACTGAGATACAAGAACTTGATTTGTTGGAGATTCTTTATTGAAAGTGAATGGTTGTGTATACCCATCTTCATCATTTGATTTTGGAGGGACAACATGATCATCAGAATGCTCTGCCTGTGATATATTACAACGTAAATCATTAACAAAAATGTAAATTTGAAATATGTTACTTCATTTTATTTTTTATAAGAAACCTCCTGCTCATTCTGTTTTGAATTGATGTCTGCCAGAACAGTTTTGAAGTTGTCGTTGATCAAATTGCGAATTTCAACAAACTCTTGTTTAACCTAGAAATATGACATAATGATGTACGTTATTAAAAATTTATAATTATAATAAGTGTATAATTAAGAAGGATGTACTATATGGTAAATACTTCTTTTCTGAAATCTGACAGCTCTTTCACCCAGCCTTCCACTTCAAGTCCGCTTGTTCTCTGAAAAAAATCATAATCACTCGAAAGTTGTATATTTGTTAGATATGCATGTAGACATTCAGTTTGTTTTAAAAATAACCTTAAGTTTGTTTATTACCTTTTTTGGCTCAGCATTCTTTTTCCTCAGCTGTTTAAGAGCAATTCGAGGTTCCAATTTTTTTGCATCCTGTTTTGATCCACCAGTCACCAGCTTCTTTGTCCTTTTTCTAAGAGGCGACGTTGAGGAACCAACATTTTCTTTCCTTTTAACCTTTACTGCTTGTGGGGGGGGGGGTGCTTGAAAATCATCTTCAGAATCTTTGTCGTCACAGCTTCCCTCTCGTTGATCATCATCTGTATCAATTATTTCATCATCTATCTCATCATCTGATGAATCTGAATACTGAGGTGGAGCTTGATTTTCGATACCCTCCGGTGGCAATTGCAATACTGCAAGTTCTCTTTGATTTGGTGTAATGTTCCTGAATTTAATCTGAATTCCAAACGTATTGTTACTATTACAAATAAAACCAATAAGAGAACATACAACTTGGTGATTATTAAATATATGTCAAAGTTAAGTACCTTGTTATTAACATCACTGAATATGGTGTTCATGAGTTTCTTGTATCTACGACTCTCATTGGTCGTCTGCCAGTTGAGCAACCTTGGAATATGGTCATCAACCTTTTGAGCGACCTGGAAATCATTACTCGAGCTGCACTCAAACAACCATACTTGGAATACAATAGGCATTCCCCCAATTCTGTAAAATTGCTTTTTACCATTTAACTTCTTGCTCAGGCTCTTTATCAGCAAATAGAAAGCTTTTTTCCCCCATGGAAACTGGGTGTACCTTCCACTTTCAACTAGATCAAAATATAATCTAGGAACTTTTTTTGTTGATCTTTCACCGGAAAAAATCACTGTCTGAATGAAGTATAAAATTGCAAACTTCAGGCCATCGTGATCGTTCTCTCCCCCCCCCACCCCCCTCACATTTCGATGAAAACTCCTCATTATATCAATTTTTCTGATCAACTTAACACCCTCAAAATATTTTTCCATGAAACTATTTGGTTCTGACTGATCAAAGATGAAATCAGTTTCTTCGTTGACACAATTTAAACCACTGATCAAAGCAAATTCTCTCAATGTGAAACGCAACGTAGATCCATTTACACGCATTACAAATGCTTGGCGAGAACTACAGTTGAGTTCTAAAGCCATGCAACACCTATGTATTTTTCCGCGAGCACGACATTGATGCATTTGCATATATTTACCGAAGCAGGTGCTTTCACAGAATACATTGTATACATGTCCATGTAAATACTTCATCAAGTCAGCTTTTATGTCATGATTAAAGAAACAATGAATGTGGGGAGCTTTTTTTGGTTTATTTTTGACATAAAATTCATTTGCCTGCACATGTTCAACAATAAAATGAATACATACTTAAGAAATTTCTGATATATAAATCTAGTACTAGTTAAAAAAATAGAATATGATAAACAACATTGTATACAAAATAGTGAATGTTAATTCATAATCATGAATATTGATGACATAAAAAATAAAATAAAATAAACAACAAACAACAACTAAGCTGATACAATAAGTCTATCAACATTTAAATACATAAATATGCTGAAGAGAACATAACTACATTGTTCAACAATCTATATATATGTATCCAACAAATAATATAGTATTAAATTAATTAATTAATCAATTTCTGGTGTAACAATAATATAGTATTAACATGATTAATTACTGTACTGTTATCACTAATTCTCAATCATCTTCATATTCATTTTATGCATATCAACAATCTATAAGTTTCCAATCTGAAAGTCATGAAATTTCAAACACAAAAACCGACTATATGCATAGCATAAAAATTAGTTTCGTTAATAATTTACTACCTCTTCATCTTCATGACGTAATACTTCATCACTTGGATATTTTTGTTGATCAACATTTGTTTTATAGCACGACACTTTCCTTTTTTTTGAAGACTATCAATTGCCATTTCATACTCTTGTGCCATTCTCGCCGCAGATCCTACATTTTCGATCAATCCTTGAGTAATGCACAAATCAAATGACGGTAATTCCGGAAAATTTTGAATGTCGTTGTTTATACCTCTCGTAATTCTGACTGAATCAGCCATTGCATAAAATACACTGTTTTTTTTCCCAACAATTCAAAAATCTGAAGAAGAAAAAAATCTTTTAACAACTGCGTATTGAACATCAAACAACAATGATTCTATATATATATATATTTTCATAATCTACCTAATCTTATAAATTGAAAGAAAATCACAAAAAAATACAAAATCATAAATGTATATTAAAACAAAAATCACATAAGTTGTCCATAAAGTGTTGATATACAAAATCAGAACTTTAACAAAAAACGCTAAAAAATCAAGACCAAAATTTGAACTAACCTTGCCACCACGAAATCTGCTTTTAATAATGAATGTAGCTCAAAAATCTTCTTAAATCTTTGATAATCAATGGCTTTTCATATATTGTCCATAAATTCTTGACTTACAAAATCAGAACTTGAACAAAAAACGCTCAAAAAATCAAAACCGAAATTTAAAACTAACCTTTCCACCACGAAATCTGCTTTAATAATGAACCTAGCTCTAAAATCTGCTTGAATCCTTGATAACAATGGCTTTGATTCTGGAAAATTTGAACAATGTCAAAACTTGAACAAAAAACGCTCAAACAATCGAAATCAAAATTTAAACTACCCTTTCCTCCACGAAATCTGCTTTAATAATAAACCTAACTCGAAAATCTACTTAAATCCTTGATAACAATGGCTTTGATCATGAAAAATTTGAACAAAGAACTTGAAATTTTGGCTGATAATTTTGAATTGATTTTTATTTTTGCCTTTCTTGGACATTACACAAAAAAGTTATTTCATTAATTTCTTTTTTTTTCACTAAATGTTATTGGACCATGTTTTGGTCCAATCAATGTGTTTCCATTTATATATTAATTTAATAATACTAAAATACATTAAAATCTGAAATACACATCTTTTATAAAAAATACGTATAATTAATATAACATATTGCTATTTTGTCATTTTCACTAAAAATTTTAAATTAATGTTATTTTAATTAATTATGTTCTTAAAGTTATCTTAATTGCTAATTTTTTCTTATTTTATTTTGTTGAGATTAAGAAGCTTGTTAATTGATTAATACTAATCTATTTTATTTAGATTTTAGCTGTATTTATTAGTCTAACTCGATTTGGTCATTTCTTAAAACTCCAAGAGGCAACCTTTCCCTACCCTCAACCTTAAACCCCTTTTCAGACACATTTTGGGCCAATTTAAATCAGGCTCATCATCAGCAGCCCACCCCTCCATTTATTACAAAACCCAACCCACCTACTAAATACAACATTACAATTTTAACAATACAATCGCGATTCAACCCGCCCCGATTCATCTTCTTCCTCGATCGAACCCGGAAACCGCGATTCAATCGCGAGAAATTGTATACAGCAGCAGCGCGCGTCTCCTCCTCTTTGTCCCTTATCCTCCTTACCGAATCTTCCAGGTGTCTCAATCTTGTGTTTCGTCCGTCCTTGCTCCTCAGATCGAACGGTGCTCCTTGGAATTCCGTTGGGAATCAGTACTGCCCAACTCTCCAACCTTATCCCTTCAAGAAAAATTCAAAATTTGAAAAATTTTGAAATTCAATTCGTTTTCCCCCTTTAATCAACCCATATATTCCTTTATTTAAGGCCTTCACCCTTTTCATTCAAAAGGGGGGAGATGGTTGGAGAGAGTTGGCGAAAAAAATTGGAAAATGGGGGTTAGAAAGGAGAAGAATAGAAGCAAACACAGTTATATAAATTTATCAAAAAGTTGTTGATTTCTATTTTGTTTGCGGGGTTATAGATTTTCGATATCAAACTTCCCTTTTAAAATTTCCCGTATTCTTTTGTCGAAAGCTCTCATCGGAAGTGTGGAAGTCTCTGTTTGGTTTGTTATTGTCTCAGACACTGCTCATCAAGAGGTAACTCTCAGTTATTTTATTCATTCAGTTTCCAGTAGTCGTTTGGATTTGAGTTGTGTTTTTATGGGTTTCGAAATACTTTTACTTGACATGTTGTAGTCTAAGTGATATCTTTAGCCCTCACCTTATTTCTCTCGAAAACTGATATTATATATTTCGTTTTGAAGTAATTGAATGTCTGTTCGAATTTGTTTTATCCGTTCTTAATTTCCTCAAGCGCGTGACTGCAGTGCTTGCCTCAATAGTTAGTTTGTTTCACTTGTGAATTATCGGAACGCTTTTCTGTCTCTATTCGTGGAAATGATATTCATGTTTGTTGTACGTGTAAAAAGAATCACTCCATTGATTCGGTTTGGCACTTATTTTTCGAGTTTAAGTTAGTCAGTTCTCTTTCTTATAGGTCGGTGTAGGTTAGTGTTGATTTGTTCGAGTCAACCTCGTTATCTTAGCCACTCTTGTGGTGCCTGCTTAGTTCCACACTTAATCTTGTGATAAATTTATTAAAGGCTTGTTAATTTGCATTTCACATGCCTATGACTCTCAAATTTGACGTTTGATTGCTATTCACTTAAGTTATGTGCAAATAGTCTTGGTCATTGTGTGTTTAAATGCATTAAGTCTTGCCTTAGCGTTCTCTCAAAGTGGTTCATGCGTGCTGGAAATTTTTGTGTTTTGGTTACTTTAGTAGCTTAATGTTTTGATTTCATTCTCTTTAGCTCCTTTACTATTTACTCATAGAAAGGTTAAAAAAAAGAATTTGAATTTGTCTGCAAGAATAAATAAATATAATTTTTAGTCCGCATTGTGATTCTTTGGATGGTGTTCAAAGCATCTGTATGTATGTTATACTTGGGAGTTTGATTTCCTCTTCTTCTATTCCCTTCACTGCTTATCATAAACTCCCCTTTAAATTATTGTTCAAGTGTTATTTTATTAAGGGATAATGCACAAGTATCCCTTCAACTTATGTCTGAAATTTCAGAAACACATTTATACTATACTAATGCTTTATTACACCCCTTAAATTATTTTATTAATAACTTTTTATCCCTTTTTGGCCGACGTGGCACTATCTTGTGGGTCTAGCGTTAGTTGACTTCTTTTTTCAAGCTAGTGTCACGTAGGCCGAAAAGGGGTAGAAAATTACTTATAAAATAAGTCTAGAGGGGTAATAGGACCTTCGAATAGTATAAGTGTGTCTTTGAAATTTCGCATATAGGTTGAGGGGGTACTTGTGCATTTTCCCTTTTATTAATAATGTCTGGTAGATGTTAAGTATTTTTCATCACTTTATTTCCTTCCATAGATGTCATCTTTTTACTTTATGTTATGGATGTGAAACTCCATCAGAATCCCCTTGAACTCCCCTCCTTGCATATAGTTGAATTGAACCACCATCGAGTCAGCTATCGGGGTAAATTGGAGATTAGGTGTACAGGTGGAAAATTGATAAATCCGTACAAAAAATAAGTCTCCTGTGCTGGAAATGTGAAAACAAGCTGAAAATATGGCTTGTATACAGACATATACAGTGATATACGTTGTGAAATAGCAATATACAGGCTCAAAAGGGCGTGAAAATGCATCATACAAAATTACATGACATAAGGTTCAAAAAAATGTAGGCTGAAAAGGTTCAAAAATGGGTTCGAAATGTCTTGTATACCAGCGTATACGTATTGTGTATATGGAGATTTCTTTGAAGGAAATAGGCCCAAAGGCCCTGAAAATTGCAGCACTAGAATTTGGGCCTAGGGCCCAAATTTGATATTTCCTCCCTTTCTTATTTATTTATTATGATTTTGGACCAACATATTATTTGAGTTTTGGTTTTAATTCAATTATATCCCTAAGATAGCCATTTCTCTTTAATATTAAACAAAAATACAAATAATTATTTTATAAATGTTTATTACTTAGATTTTATTTTAATATTGATTTTGTTAAAACATATGAATTATTTTCACTTTTAAGTAATTTCTCTATTTTATTTTCCCCTTGATAATATAATAATTAAATTGAGTAAACGAAAAAAAATTCTTTTTACTTTAGTTAAAAACTTGAAAAGTTGTTTGAAAGTCATTTTTAGTCAAATCGCCGGTCAACCGCAAGTTAGCGGGCAATCCGAGGGCCTAACATCTTCTCGGAATGTACATTTGAACTTCGAACCCTTTTCAATTGATTTTTCTCTGTTTTAAATCTTTTAAAAAATAATTTTAAGTTTTTCTTGATTTATATTAAAAGTCAAGTGGCGACTCTATTATTTTGGAAAGTCGATTTTTCTTAATCATAAATTAATTTTTTTTGAAACTTTGTCATTTTACTTTACTTATATATATTTTTCGTAAAACAAGATGTCTATGTAAACCTCAGTGTAGAAGTAATTAAAAAGTTTTAAATTATCCGCAATTTAACCTATGAAATGTAATGACAAATGCTAAGATGTTAGTTTTATTCCTCTTCGAGGATGACGACACCGATTACTTCTAGGGGGTGCTCCCCGGATGTGACAGGTTTGATGGACCGGAGGAAAATTCTGGAAAATGTTGACGCTTGGATTTTGAGAAGTCGGTGACGTTTGGTGTGAGGAGCTAGCATGATGCGAGTTAGGATTGGTCAAGTCAATGGTGTAAGGTTAGGAATTATAGTTGTTGTTGAATTATTTGAAAAATGTTATATTGGATCCAAAGTAGGAAAATGGAGTGGTGGTCTTCCGTTGTCTGGAATAAGAGTGTTAGCAATGATACCTAGAATTGTCAAATCTCGATTCTTATTCAGTTCATCCCTCATTTCAGCAATCTGTCAGATTAATTGTGCTATCAACTTGTTTTTGTTCGTCAATGATAGGGTCATTCACAGTAATTTCATTCAGATCAGTATTCACAACATTTTCAACCACTTTTTCTTTGTCTTTTGACAAACATTGATCGGAGAAGGGATCTTTGCATCTTTGGACCTCGTGATGTATGGATGTTCAGTCATTTTCTCAACAAATATCAATTTTGAGTACGTGACAAAGAAAAATAACTCAAAGTCAAATGTGTTAGTCTGCGTCGATGATAATTAATACAAAATATCACCCACAGTACTGTAAACACATAGGGTTGCTTCATTTGAACATAAACTTGCCCACATATATAGAGAAATGACTAAATAGATGGAAATTTGTCCATTTGATTTTTAACTTTGTGAATTAGAAATGTCGACTTGAGTCGAGACAAAGTCGATTGAATATTTCATTGTCGTACTTTCTTTTTTTGACAAGATGTAACTCTATTTTTTTTGTAAGAGTTGAAAAAGATAAAATTTCTCAAAAATGGGGATTGAACCTTGAAAGGTTGTCTATGTATTTCACATAGTTCGACCCATTCGAATCTCTTTCGATTTGAGATAAAGGGTTAACCTTTTCTCTGAGATGGGAGAGTAAGGATTGAAAGCGATGTTTGAACTTTGTTGGAAAACTAAAGACTCGAATAATATTTGGACGCACTTTTGATTGTGACTTGACATTTGTGCATAGGGGTTCTAAAAAAAATCTCAAATAAGAGTGAGCTGGAATGTCTCCAAATAAAGCAACATATTCACATAAGCAGTTTTAACACAAATAAATATTGCCCGTTTTAATAGATATATGACCCTTTTGTGCAAGGGTAGGTCTAACGATTTGAAGGATATATAAGTCATTTGAAATATTTCATTGCCCCAAGACTCAAATTTATACAAATTTTATGAATAAAATTAAATAGAAACACATAATAGGAAAACGGGATAAAAAATAATCAGTCTCATGCAAGAGTACGACCGTAAACTATGCCTCCACGAAAGATCCTTCTTTTTTTTCTTTTTTTTTTTCGTTCGCTCCGGGTGCATAGGTCTTTGGATGGCCTAGTAGCTTGTTAAGTTCTTTCTTCAACCTAAATAAACTATATTCTAATCATTATTCCACGAGACAATGATTTTCAAACAATGTATACATCTTTCAAATTTAAACACATAAATATGAACATTCGTTTAGGTCGTGGGCCGTTCTAGACTCAAGGTGATCGCTCTATTGGACCCAGCGCCCTTTGAGTGTTGGGTCATTTTAGGCTAATGCGCTAACTTTTGGGGATTTGGCTTTGCTCTTTCCTAGTTTGACTAAGTGTGGGTTTTGTTTATAGTGGATAGGTGACCCAAGCGGACTACTTAGGCTGAGAGAGCTAACGGCCATTGACTATTAAGTAGTCAACTACACCCGTCAGGGTGCCCCGAGAACAATTTTGTTAATGAACGACTAAAAAACCGCATAATTGTCCTTTAAGTGATAAGCAAAATAATTATTGTTTGACGAAATATGTCATGCCATGAATGCAATATTTATCAATATAAACATATTAAACACAAATAACTATTTTAGCAAATAACACTTAATCAAACAATCAAATATCATGGTTAGAACTTAATAATTCCTCAGTAGTGTCACTATTTCTGTTTTACTCGAAAATAATAAAAAGAAAAGACTAAGTTTTTGAAAAATTGACTAAACTTATGATTTAAGAGAAATTAAATTTTCAAATAAATAGAGTCGTCACTTAATTTTTTAAATAAAAATACAAGAAAAACCTATGATTTTCAAAAAGATTTATACAGATAAAATATCAATTTAAAAAGTGGATTCGAAGTTCAATGTATATTTCGAGAAGGTGTTAAGACTCTCAAAATGTCTGCGAACTTGCGATTGACCGGCGATTTGATTAAAACTTTGACTAATTTAAAACATTTAACCAAGTAAAACAAACTAATTTTTTATTTTTTATTTTTAAGGGAAACAACTGAAGGGAAATCTTCTAAGGACAATGATTCAAGTTGCAAGACAAACAATAAAATAAAATAAAACTAAGTAACAAAATAAAAAATATAAATATTTTAATTTTGAACATAAAATTGAGAAATGACTTTCTTTTGGGGAATTCAATCAAATAAAAATCACTTCAAAGAAATCTTAGTTAGACAAAGAAATAATCAAATACAATAAAAGATAAGAGGATATTATAAACTTGGGTCTTCCCTCAAATTTCAAATTGATGGGCTGGCAGACCCAACTTCTTTCAACCCGTCCTAAAATAAATTCATGGGTTTCAAACCCCATTTAAAATCAGATTGGGCCTGCTCTTGGAATTAAAACAAATAAGTAGAATTAGGTCGTGGCCCAAATTTTGTGCCAAAATAAGCTACGTATACATAGTTGTATACTATAACACCCCGTATTCAAAAATAGACCGAACTTCAGTTTTTTGGAAATTGTAGGTGTAATCTACTATCACCATCTTACGGGTAGTCTGATCTACGGCCCGTATTGTGGGTCTGTGGTCCACCATTGTAGCCCTTCCTAAAAGCTCAGCTCAAAAAATTGATCTAGTCTCGACCCACGGACATATATACGGTCCGTAAGTCAGACCACGATCCGTGGATTAACACCCTATTCCCCAGCCCCTGACATGAACCACGATTGACTAGTACGGTCCGTACATGAATTTCAGAACCCTAGCTATGTATTTCTTTTTGTTCTTGAATTACACATGCTAGGTCAGATATTTTAGTTACTTTAGATATACTTGCCTCAGTTATTTATCCATTATTATCAGATTAATTGTTGCATTCTATGTTTGCATATTCAGTTTGAGCTATGCACTATTTATAGAAACATAGTCATAATAGTGAACCACTAAATTCATTGGGAGTAGACTAATACTGAGTTGGAGTTGGGTTTAGCGTACCCAAATAGTCCGAGAACTACTAGTCAAATAGGAGCTAAGTCCCCTCTATGGACATCAGTTTAGTGATCACGCCAACATGCCTTTATACCTTTGAAAGAGTATATTGGGTCCTCTCGATGGGATGCATACATCAAACTCCACATTTAGCTCATGTGATTTTATTATCGGTTATTAGTAGTTCTCACAGTTCAGTGAGATTCCATTGCATTGATCATTTATCACTATATCTAGTATACAGTTCCAGCGCGTCATAAATTGGTTACTATATTCAATTATCTCAGCATTTAGTATATCATTTAAGATTATATCGTTGCTTTATTTCTTGTTTAGTTATATTTTATTTCAGCTTTACGATATCCTACATGTTGAATACCTTCCAAGTAATGAAGCATACGTGCGCAACATTTTCTCGTGACATAAGTTCAAGTTCTAATCATCTAGATCACGCTTAGATTGATTCTCGATCTCCAGTTCAGCAGAATCATTGGTGAGTCCTCATTCTCCAAGGACAATAGTCATGATTTTATTTCAATATTTTCAATCCTTTAGCTTCAGTTTTTGCTAGACTTAGTTGGGGCCTATCCCAGCATTTCTAGTCATCTAAAGGCTATTTTCAGACATAGTTAGTTTCATCTAAGTATTGAGTTAATATCTTTTTTGTATTAAACTCATTTGTTTTCATATATCTGAGTTATAGCGTATGGGTATTTCCCATCTTTTCATTTTAATTATGATTTAGCTTCCGTATCAGTTTATTATCTTTAGTATGCTCATGATCATGCCAGCACATTTAGATTCGAATCACTTGTGGTCCTAGGTCCCGTGTCTGCAACTCGAAGGTAGCTCGGGGCATGAAAAACTTGGTATCAGAGCATTAGATTTAAGTATCCTATGATGTATGAAAAGCCGCACCAAGTAGAGTCCTTTTCATTGGTGTAAAGTGCACCACACTCTAATGAAATGGAGGCTAAGAAGTGTTATAAGAAAAACTTCACTTTCTTGTTACTCATATCGTATGTAAGGTATGATCTAATCCCATTCTAACTCGACGTTCTACATTTTAGATCATGCCTCCTCGTAGAGCTAACGCTCGGAGTGCGAATGCCAGAAATGCAAACGCAACTCCTCAGTCCCAAATTAGGAAGTCTCCAATGCTGAATTCAGGAACGCCATTAAAATGTTTGCTCAAAGTATAGCCAACAAGAATAATCAGGTTCAAGCTCATCTGGAAGTTAATGGTGTATTAGCAGCAGCAAGGGTCCCTAACTTTGTTAGGATGAATCTACCTGAGTTCTTAAGTTTGCAAACTAATGAGGATCCCCAAAATTTCTTAGATGAGATCAAGAAGATCTTTGAGGTGATGCAGGTCACTAGGAATGAATCGGATTGAGTTTGCATCATACATGTTGAAAGATGTTGTTCATATCTGGCACGCTCAGTGGAAGGAAATTAGGGATATAGATGTAATTCCTATTACTTGGGATTGCTTTAGTGAGACCTTTTTTGACAGGATTTTCCCGATAGAATTGAGAGAAGAAAAGGACCAGTAATTCATGAACTTAAGCCAGGGAAACATGATGGTTCAAAAGTATGGGCTCAAGATTAACCAACATTCTAGGTATGCTTATCACATGGTTGCTGACTCCAGGGATCAGATAAATAAGTTCTTGTATGTAGTTTCAAATTTGGTGAAAACAGAGTGTCGAAATGATTTGTTACTAAGAGATATGAACATCTCTAGGCTTATGACTCATGCTCAACAAGTTGAGGGTGATAAGCTTAGGGAATAGGCCAAGGATAATAAGAAGTCTAGGACCAAGAACTATGACTATTCTCAATAGAAATAAGGTGGTGGAAATGGCTCAGAGTCAATAGAAAATTGCTTGCAGAGTCGTTAGAAATTTTCAAACCCAGCCCTTTCATTAGCTATTGTTCCATCCTCCAAGAACAAGTATGATCACAAGGTTACGGAACCAGGCTCTAAGTCTCAGGGAAGTGTTTCAGGCACCAAGACTTAACCCACTTGTCCTAAGTGTAGTAAAAACCATCCTGGTGAGTGCCTCGCAGGAAAGGAACGATGTTTTGTATGCGGTCAGTTTGGGTTGAGAGATTGGCCTTCTAGATAGGGTCAAGGAAGTAGTAATGGTAGAGTTCAGTCTACAACTTCAGTAGTAGCAAGTCGCCCTACTCATCAGGATAACTCATCTCGTATAGGTAACGGTCATCCAGAACATGTTGTATGCTCTTCAGGATCGCTAGGATTACGAAGGTTTTCCTTATGTACTCACTGGTATATTACAAGTCTTTGACCTTGATTTTTATGCATTGTTAGATCCAAGGGCTCGTCTCTCCTTTATATCTTTTTGCATAGCAGTTTAATTTATTGTTAATCCAGAGCTCTCTCAGAACCTTTATCTGTCTCTACTCT